TTTAATAGTGCTTTGTCAATTCTTAGTCTATTCCTTTAAATTTTTTTTATTTTAGTTGTAGATAAACAACATTCCTTCATTTCATTTATTTATTTTTATGTTACTCATACTAGACAAGTGCACTACCATTGAGCTACAAATGCAGCCCCTGGCCTGTTACTTTTTATATGCATTTTACAATTGTGTTGTCAATTTTAAAGAAGCACCCTGGTTGGAATTCTACTGGAAATGCATTGAATCCATTGACTTACAATCCACCCCAATCTGGCTTCGATAGCTACAACTCCACTGAAATTGATCTTGTTAAAAATCATCCAAAATCTCCATATTGCCAAATCTATCAGCCTTTACTTTGTTCTCATTTTACTTGACCTGCAACACGGTGGAGAACTCTCTTTTTAAATTCACCTTATACTCTGGGCTTTGGAAACATCACACTGTTTTTAAACTGAGTTTTTATAGCTGGCTCTTTCATCTCTGCCTAACCTCTGAATGCCAGAATGCCATAGGACCTGGTCTTCTATTTTATTCTGTCTTTCCTTGTTCTCTTCTGGGTCCATGCCCTTCAGTGTTGCTACACATTAATGACTCCCCGTATATAGATGAACTGATCTGACCCAAATATCCAATTGCATACCTGACATTTCCAGTTGGACTTCAAATAGACACTGCAAACTGAACATATATAAAAAATCACCCTTGAGTTCATTCTAAATGATCTTGTCCCAGCCTAGGTAAATAGCACCATCATACACCAGTTGACTAACGACGACAAGGACAAACTAGGCTCTGGATCATTCTGGATGCTTCCTTGCCTTTACCTGCTGCATCTATTCTTCAGCAGTTTGTAGGCACCACCTCCAAAATATTTGAATCTGTTACTTTTCTCCATCTGCTCTGCCTCAGTCTACACCACCATCCTCTTTTGCTCTGAGTTTGAAGCTGCCTCCTAGTTGGTATCTCTGCATCCGTTCTCAGCTCTTGGTAATTCACTCTCCATTAGGTAATGAGAGTCATCTGAGAGTGAGACAGACCATGTGCTGCCTCTGCTTAAAACTTTCCAAAGGCTTTTCACTGTGATTAGCATAAAATCCAAATTCCATACTAAGGCCTTCAGGGTCCTACTAAGCTGACTCCGCCTCCCTCTTAGGTCCTTGCTTACTAACCCCAGCCCCAGTGGCCTCCTGATGCTTCCCCCAGCCTGCTGAGCTCTTTCCCACTCTAGGACCTTGGCACGTGCTGCTTCTGATGCTCACTGAAGGCCTTATTACCTCCTTGTCACCATGTCATCAGCTTAGATATCCTCAGAGGGGACTTCCTATCTTCCCATAGTGTCTCTCACCCAAAAGCCTGAGATTATTCTGCTTATTTGGTTTAAGTGTCTATTCCTGGCCAGAATTAAGTTCTCTGAGGGCTGGGGGCCTGGTCTGTCTTGTCACCACCGTGTTCCTAGCCCCTGAAGTAGCACCTGGCACCTTTGAGGTACTCAACATATATTTCCTGAACAGACAGAAGGCCACCCAGAGGATTATGTAGTGTGACCAGAGAAGCAGGCAGATGACCGAGGCTCACAGAGCATTTTGTTTTTGTTGTTGTGTTTTTTTTACTCAGTCCGTTTTGGACTCAGTATAGACAGGAGCAAAGAAAGGCAAGCTGGTGTTTTGGGGTATGATTGCTTGTGGCATTTCCTTCCTCACTGCTGTTTACTACTTGTGCAATAAATCTCAAATCAGTGGGGAGAATGAACTCTGAGTTCATATATTCTCGTAGTGAAATAAGTCATAGTTTGCTGATGAAAATAGTTTATATTTATGATTTTGAAAGAAGAAATGAAACCTATACATGAAACCTTATCTGGGTGTTTTTTTTTTCACCTTGTTTGACAATCCAATTTATGCTTGAATTCCAGGACTTACACATTTATTTTATTAGTAAAATTAATTTTCTTGAGTGCTAGAGATAGACATCTGCGCCTCAAGCATGCTAACTATGCACTTTGCCACTGAACTACACCCCCAGATCACATATTTTTAAGATCTAAAATAATAATTCATCTCCACTGCAATAATCATTCAGTAGACTCATACAGTTCATGTTTAATCTATTTTGGAGAAAGATTTAAGCAATTCTCAATACATTATTTTTTAAAAAATCCTCCGTTTAATGATCATTTTAGTGAGATGTACAGGTGAAAATAGAGAATTGCTAATACAACACCCTGCATAACAAATAGAATATACTGGAATAGTCAGTAGATGATAATACATTTGTGCTCATGCAATACTGGGAATTTGTATTTCCCCTATTTTATGTTGAAACCCACCCCAGAGTGGTAGTATTCGGAGGTGAGGCCTTTCAGAGATGATGAGGTCCTGATGGGGGATCCCTCGTGAGTGGTTAATGGCCTTAGAAGAGGCCAGAGAGCTCACAAGCCCTCCTTCCACCATGTTAGGATACAGCCAGAAGTTCTGCAGCCCAGAAGGGGCCCTTGCCTAAACCCAACCACGGCCTCCTGATCAGACTTCTAACCTCCAGACTAGGAGAACTAAATGTTCGCTGTTGGTGAGCCACCCATCTACAGCTCCTTGTTAAGCACCCTGAACTAAGATGGCCTGTACTCTGACTTACTAACAAATCCATACTTAGTGCTTCCTGGGTCAGGTGTTGTTCTAGGTTCTTTAAAATATGAATTCATTTCATTCTATTTTCACCCAAACTCTTTGACATGGGAACTATTTTACAGATGAGGAAATTAGTAGGCACAGAGGATAAGCAGTGTTCTTGAGCTCCCTGCTTGTGGTAGAGGTGCACAAGGCTTTAAATCCAGGTGGGTCTTGCTCCCAGCTGTTCACAGCAACTGGATATAATATTGACTGAAAGCTCATCAAGGAAAAGAAATGTTTTCTTTGCCCAGTTGGAATAACTTTGTTTATGTAGTTATTTTAAATAGTTGTTTCTTCTAAAACACCATGAGAACTAGCACTACAGGCAGATTGCTGTGAGGCCACTCAGCACACCTGGCACGCCCCAGGATGTCACGCAATGGAGACCTCTTGGGACCTCTGTGCAACTTGGCAGACTCCAGAGGCCCTGCCCACAGACTTGCATGAATGGTCTTCTGGAGGGGTGCTGGGTCTGACCCTCAGTGGTGGCCTTGAGGTGGCCAGAAGATGCATGGCCATGAGAACCCTCTCTCCACACAGTCCATTTTCTGGATTCATCCATTGACGTTTGCTGCCTAAACAGTACATTAAAACCCTACTCTCTATTTGATAATTGTCATCTCACTTCCTCATTTTTAGTTCACTAGAAGAAAAACATGCTTAAATATTTAAATGTCTCTGTATATGGTGCATATTAGAGATTTGTTTTTTCTCTCTGAGAGGTTATGATTTTAAATGCCTCCCTGGGTAATTTTGGACAAATCTCTGATAACAATGAAAATGGCAATAGGACATGGTAATAAATCTAAGCCAAGATTCTGTGGAAGGCCAGGTTCATGCCTGGGTCTGCTGGTCTTCAGAGAGTTTTGAGGACACTCTATTCAATTCTCAGTCCAGCTGATGGACATCAGCTGGATTTGGACTCTTGGTGCACTGAGCTTACCCCTAATAGACACTGTCATCCCCAGCGGGCAGAACTGGAGGAGTCACATGGATATGGGACCTAAGTGGCCCTCTGGTCTAATTTACTTTCTGACAGATGAAAAGCCTGAGGTCCAGGAGGTTGACAGAAGCCGTCTAAGCGCATATGGCTGGTTGGTGGCAGGAGAGAGAATAAATCTGTAATTCCAAATGTACCTACTTTTGCTTGTTTTCTGTTAGACTTCACTGCACCCTGTACCTCTGGGTACAATAGACTTTCTCTAGGCCTTTGTGTTCCAGCTTTGTTATGTGTCCTCGTCTACCTTTGCTGGGACAATCAGCAGAGACTCTGAGCACTGGATGCTTTCTACTTCAGCTCCAGGCGGGGAAACCCATCACAAGCTCAAAAACATACACAGGCAGTTCACTGATCATCACTCCAGGTGTGGGCTCTGTCACTAATGGTGTGATTAATTATTTGGTCAGTGAACTTCTGTAGGCTTCTCCAGTGTGAAGAGAGGATTGGGTAAGTAGCCTAGGCCCTCAGCAGCACCGTGCCTCTGGGAACTCTCCCTGTGACCGCCAGTCAAATCATCCTCAGGGCACATCTGGAACTCACAGCAATCTTTAGGTCTTAACTGTGTGAGACCATGTTTTACGAGCTTGGTCATGTTGGCTACCTTATTTTTTTCACATGTTGCTTCCAGCGCTGAGTACCCAAACCTGCTAGTGCTCTCAAATTACCATCAAATACATGGCGACCTGACATTCTGTTCTGGCCAGTCTAGTCTTTTTTGTTTTTGTTTTTGGTCAGAGAGAGGGTTGTTGCTTAAACAAGTAAGAAGGAACTCTCATGGGTGAGGAGAGGCTTGGGGACCTGTCAAGGGTTGTCACATGTAGGCCCCATGGCCGTGGTTAGGTCAGAGTTTGCTATTTGTTCCTGCTCCAGTGGCCCCACTGGTTCTAAGTTTTCTTCAGACAGATGGGCCTGAGGTTCAGAGGCCCAGATATTTGCTCAGGCTTGGACAGGAACAGACGGACTCACACACATCTTCTTTCTTGGAGTCCTTGAATGGACAAAAAGTAGGCCTTAGGCAGAAGAGAAGCACAGAGACCCAGAGACACACTGTGCAAAGGCTCAGAGTCAAGAGGGCAAAAAAAAAAACAGGATTGGGGGGAAAGTTAGAAAAGGAAGGAAGGAAAACAAATGAAGATAGAGAGCAGCTGAGTCCCAGGAACGACTGTGGACTCACCAGAGCAAAGATAAATGCATGAGCCCCAGGCAACAACCATGTGGCGGGATTCAGCACACACTGTCCTGTGCTCTAGTTTTCAGTGAGACTGGGCCAGCCACAAACCACTTCTAGTAGCCCCAAAGTTGACCACCCCTTTTTCTAACAGTTTCCTCTCCTGCAGAAACCTGAGGCCTCCGGATCTCATCAGGCAGAGGAATCTACATAATGTGACAAGGAATCTACATAATGTGACGACTTGACAATTCCACACTCCACGTTCTCCAGGTGCCTGCGTGTGGCGTGGTGAGCGCTCACCCTGTGAGCCAGCATGGGACAAGCACTCAGGACAGTTTGCTGGATGAAGCTGAGACACTGGGTCACTGGGTCACTCTGGCTGCCGAGCAGGTGAAAGAGTTTTTCAGATGTGCAGCGAGGTGTACCCAGTACAGGCCCGAGCAGAGGGAGCCTCGCAGCAGCTGAGGGAAGAAGGGGCTCATGTGTAGGAAGAACCCCAGGCAGCCACGGTCTTGCCTCTTGCTTGCTCTACTGCCTCCAGTTCAGACTGGGGGTCAAGGCCCCTGTGGAAGGCATGCCCTCCCAGCACCCACATCCCAACACGTGTGTTCAGACTGGTGAGGAGGACCCTGCTCCTTGACACACTCAGCGAGCCCACTCCTGGACTTTGCTGTCCTCAGAGACCAGGGGCGTCAGGGTCTCAACGATGCCAGGTCAGGGCATGCAGCACTGCTGCTGGGAGTCAGAAGGACTGTTGGCACAACGCCGATGCTGGTTGCTTGGTGAGGGAAGAGGGAAGCACGTGATAGGGACCATCCAGATGTCAGATTCTTCAGGGCCTCCTCCTAGAGGACCCCAGTCACCATGTGTCAAACAGAGTAACCTTCCAGGATGGCACATGTGGTCTGACAAGGGGCTTTGGAAGGTAGTTTCAGTCCGCTGTTGTTTTTTGTATGGATGACCTGGGGCCTCTGGGCTTTAGTTTTCCCATCTGCAAAATGGAGATGTTGATGTGTAATTTTGAGACAGACCATCTAAAAGCCATCGGCAAGAATGGAGGTCAAATGATTTCGATAATTGCAGCTGCACACGGGGCTAAAATAGTTCAATCTGAGAGTTGAGGGGGTGGGAGGTGAGAATGGCCTTAGATGAGGGGGCCTCACTGCCACTGAGGTCACCACCTTTGCCAGCACATGGAGACGGGCATGGTGACCTCCTCCCACCTCTGGTTGCTCATCACTTTGAGGCTTTGGCTCCTCGGATTTCCCTCAGCACTAATCACTCTTTTTTTTTTTTTATTGCTTATGGTCGTTTGTTGCTCTTCTCTATTTAGTTATGAAGTTGACCTTAAATGCAGTCCATAACATCCTATCCTTATCCTCTTTTTTAGTGAATTTTTTCCAACAGATAGTTATGGCAGTTTCAAAGCTTTAGCTGCAAATTTCAGAAATCCTAAATCAAGATAGCTTATATAATATTGGAGAGTTAATAGTTTGTTATTAAATGGCCCAGAGACAGATCTTCAGCCAAAGTTTGATCCAGAACCAAAGATGACATCTGGGACCAGTTTCGTTTCTCTCTTCTGTCCTCCCTCATACTAGCTTTTCTTCAAGCTGTTCCCCATCATGATCCTGAGATGACCACCGTGACTGCCAACTGCTTCAGTGTTCTCCTCCATCAGGAAAGAGTGCTTGCCCTTCCCAGCAAAACCCTCAAGATTTATTTATGTATTTTTCTTGCAGAGCTGGGGATGGAACCCAAGGCCGTGTGTGTGCTAGGCAAGCGCTCGACCACTGAGCTACTTTCCCAGTTCCCTCAGGATTGACTTTGACTGGTGAATTTAGGCTACATATCCACTTTGAATAAGTTTCTGGCCTAGGGAAATAATGCACTGAGTAATTTAGCCTAAGTGACATCCCCCATTGCTGGGGATGGAGGTAGGTTTCATTTTTTTTCAGAACCTCATTTCGGCGCTGATAAGGAAGCGAATGTGGAGACTCTGATGCTGAGGAGGCCACTAACCATGCTGCCTTCCATGAAGAACCACAAGGCCCAAATGCTTGAAGACTTTTCCATTTGAAAACCAGCGTGCGTACTGCTTAAACCAAGGTCAAGGCATCTGATGTGACACCAAGTGGCTTTCATCAACAGGCATGAGGAGCAGTCTGAACCTTTGCATTTTCTGATGTTACAAAACACTGGGTTCTGTACTTCAGTGCTCTCGCCAGGGAAGCTTTCTTGTTTGTGCATTTTAGCCATTTTCAACATGCTCTAAATTGAAACAGAGAATGTATTTTTTTCTTTCTAGTGTTAAAATCCAATAAGCAGCGGCACACTGCAGGAAGTCGGTCTAGCCACAGCAAATCTGTACTTGTTTTTGTGAGAGAGGATGGGAAGAATGAATATTTGCCCTGTGGCATCAATTTCCTGTTTAATGTTCTCCAAGAAGTGTTTGGAAAATGCCCAGCTACACAGATGTACGTAAATACCATACATAACTTGTTTCTGAGTGGGGGGGAGCAGTCTGTGAAGTGGGGACAGGGCTGGCTTGCTTGCCTCCAGATAGCTGGTAAGCAACTACCTTTGACCTGGTGATCTGGGGACTAGATTATCCGAGTTTGGCACTGGAAGGAAAGCAGCATAGGAATAGCGTGGCTTCTTAGACTATGTTCTTACTCGTGTGTGTGTGTGTGTGTGTGTGTGTGTGTGTGTATCAGGGATAGAACCCAGGGGTGCTTAATCACTGAGCCACATCTCCCTTTTTAAAATTTTATTTTGAGATTTTGAGAGAGGGCTTTGCTAAGTGGCTGAGGCTGGCCTTGAACTGGTGATTCTCCTGGAGTGGCTTCAATTACAGGTGTGTGCTATCGCACCTGGCTTGTTCTTATTCATTTAAGGCTACTTTTATCCCAAAGTTTGCATATTCTTATTGGAGATGGCCTATAAGAAATGTATATTAAGAGGATGGTTTTTAAAAACAAAACAGTTCCCTGCAAACAGAAGCCCATCTGTAAGACGGACAGACACAAATCTGTTTGTGCAAAGGTGTGCACACACTGCCTAGCGCCTCTTCCAGGGCAGTTTGTATGCCCCACACATGCCTTCAGATCATCTTATATAAAAGGCGATGGCTGGGTTGGAGGACCAAACTCTTATTTTTGTTTTAGCAACCAAGCTACAGGGCTACTCTAGAAGTTAAGACCTTGATCCACAAAGGAAGCTTTAGAGGTAAAGAATCTGTCCTCTCATATATAATTTTCAGATGCCTCCTAATAAGGCAAGGTGAGAAATGAAGCCTATGACCTGTTAAACACCTACGATGTGAACGGAAGGCCTTTCTATACATTGTGACCCATCCTCACAACATCCTGTGTTGTGCTCCCTCTCTCCTCCTCTTACAGATGAGGAAACTGGGACTTAGAGAAGGTAAACTACAGCTCAGGGGCTAGTGATGCCTGCATTAAACTCAGTGCGGGTCTGGTTGGTCCTGAAGCCTTATACATTCTTCTCAGATTTAGAAACTGTTACTCTAGCATTCACAGATGAGCCTCAGAAAATTCTCAAGAGCCTAGTTTTCTGTGTAAATCTGTAAGTGTGTGTTCATGTGTTCCTAACACTCATGGGATTTATCAGCTGTGTTTCTGGAGCCTGGCACAGACTTCTTCCCTCCCCTTTCCTTGTGCACCCCCCAACCTCAGCCCCTGGAAACTGCCACTCTGGTCTCTACTTCTGTGTGCTCAACTGACTTAGATTCCACCTGAACATGAGATAACATAAGACATGTCTTTCTGTGTGTTTTATTTCATTTAATGTAAAGTCCTCCAGGTTTGACTATGTTGTCACAAGTGACACACTTTCCTGTTTTTTAATTATTTGTTAGTAGCTGAAGAATACTCAGTTGTGTGTACATACCATGTTTTTAAAACACACCCTTTTCACCATGAACACTTTGTTTCCAAATCTTGGTCACTGTGAATGATGGTGTCTTAAAAAGAGGCGGCCCACCTCCCTTCAGCATATCGATTTCATTCCTTCGGGTCCACCCGGGAGTGGGATCACTGGAGTATGTGGTGTTTCTACTTTTGCTTTTTTTTTTTTTTGGAGAAACCTCCACACTGCTTTCCACAATGGCTGTGCTAATTTGCAACACCACCAACAGTGAACAGGGTTCCCTGAGCCCCGCAGCCTGGCCAACATGTGTTAATCTTTCATCTTTTTGATAACCGCCAGTGGCACAGGTGTGAGTTGATACCTCATTGTGGTTTTAATTTGCATTTCTCTGATGATTAGAGATGTTGAGCATTTTCGCATATCACTTTTGGCCATTTGTGATTCTTCTTTTGAGAAATGTCCTATTCCAGTCCTTTGCTCATTTTAAAATGGGGTTGTTTCGTTGTTGTTGAGTAGGCTGAGTCCCTGGTATGTTTTGGACACTAGCCCCTCTCCTCTGATGCATGGTGTGCAGATGTTTCCTTCTATCCCTGGAGCTGTCTTTTTACTACTGTGGCCCTCGCTGGGCAGAAGTTCTGGTGTCCCATGATTCTGTCTTTGTTGCTGTCATTGCTTGTGTTCTCAGGGTCCTACCCAAGAAATCCCTGCCCTGATCAATGTTTTGGAGCTTTTCCTGTTTCCTTCAGGTATAGTTTCAGGTCTCCCATCAGAGTCTTGGAAAGGTAGGCACATGATAAACATCTGTCCAGTGATCAATAGGGGTTCATGACACAAAGGTCTGGGAGCCACTGAACCTGGTATGGTTACACTTGTCCCATCATCTATGCAATGGCTTTGTTTTGGATACACGCAATCATTCTTTAAAAAACAAATGTTTAAAAATGCAAGATTTTGTTAACAGGCCATTTGAAACTATTTGATATTCATATAAAAAGATTAAAAAGTTTAGACAATATCGTCCAAGGATGGTTTTTCTTAAAGCACACCAGTGCAAAGGTCCCTGGAAACTCTGAAGACCCACACCTAGAACAGAGATATCATGTGAGCTACAAACTCACACCACATTTGTAATTTGAAACTTTGTATTAGCCACATTTTAAGAAGTAAAAAGAAATAGGTAAAACTAATTTTAATAATACATTTTGTTTAACTCAATACATCTATCTACAAATATTAGCATTTCAGTGGGCGAGCAATGGCAAAGATCTTTGAGTTATTTTACATTATTTTTTTCACACTCAATTTTACATATTCGATGTGTATTTTACCCTCATTTCAAGGGTCACCTGGGTTTGTGGCCACCATAAGGAAGAAGGCCACATGGAGACTTGGGTAGGTAAAAGCCGGGGCAAGGCTGACCAAGCTGGAGAAGGGTTTGGGCCTGTGGGGACACACTTTGGTGATCCCAGGTAGAGGGGTGTTGGGTCAGGCCGCTGCTCACGTTGCCAATATTGCAGATTTTCAGGTGGTTATGGAGGCACAGCCCCCGGCATTTCAGCAGAAGTCTTCCTTTTCCCAGAGTCGCTGTCTTTTCCTTTGAAACGGACGCACAGATCCTGCGCACACTAGGGGAAGATGTGATGCCCAGTAACTAAGTTACACCCCATAATTACAATAATTTGTTCTTCACCTGGAACAGAGGATCCAGGTGTTTTATGGCACAGGATGGAGGTAGTCCTGGCCCCTTGGGGGAAGAGGACAGGACAGAGGCCCCAGAGCTGCATCCCTCCCCACCTGAGGATAAAAGAAGGAGGCTGCAGGGAGCCTGAGGACAGAGGTTTGAGGACAGACCAGGCCACAGAAGAGCCTGGAGTTTTGTTCTGACCTTGACCAGCTTTGCTTATAGTTCCTTCCTGTCTCTTGATGTCATCAAGGGTTTCGCACAGGGTGTGGCCCTGCTCTCTCCAAAGCCCTGGCATTCAGCACACTTACCACACCTCTGTCACCAGCCAGAGCAGCCTCGTGATCTGGAAACCACACTCATTCTGAACTTTTCAGTGACTCCACATGACGGGCATAATGTTGTCTTCCTCCATAAGAATCTTAAATCCATTTGGGAGGTTACAGTTAGGTTTGCATGGGTACCATACCTAGAATTCCCCAAACTGAGGAATTATCTGAATCCATAGGACACAATTTCATTTTATCCATTTGCTTTTGGCTGATGTTGGATGTAAACTTTAAAGGAAAAAATACCTATGCCACTGAGGAAAGTAGATAACCTGTTCATTTGACAAATTGTAACAACATCACAGGATCCTGATAAATTATGAAACATTGATGAGGTAAACTCAAACTTTCAGAGAGTAGAATGACACTCTGCACCCATATGAGTGTTGAAAAACGCTGCCATCACTATTACCCACCTCTACTGTTACCGCCACCATCACCATCATCACCAGCACTGACACCCCATAAATAATGCCATTGCCACTATCACTAGTGTAGCCACCACCACCGTTACTACCACCACCATCACCAGCACCCTCACAAGCCTTGCCACCACTGTCATTGTTACCATGGCCACCATCACTAGCGCTGTTGCCAATACACCTTTCTTTCATCAGTCCATTGGGGAAAGAACCTAGCAAAAGAATGTCTGACAGGGAATATCCTCTGCACTGGGGGCCACATCTTCCTAGCAGGTTAAGGGGCATGGGGTGGTGTGAACTGGAAAGTGCAGTGTTTGTAAACCGACCCACAATCCTAGCCATGTCTTGCTCTTCTTCAATGACGTCAAGTGACATTGCTTCCTGAACTAAGAAAGCAATCGGAGACAGCTGAACTCCCATGGGGAATGAGGAGATGAGAATGCTTAATTCTTCATTCATAATGGAGAGAGTCAGCATGTGGAGGAGCGGACGGGTGGGTGATGACTCATGTTCCCTGCACAGGGTACAACCCCCGAATAAGGAGGCTGTTCCTACAGGCATATATGAAAACAAGGCTCAGGATTGCAGTCACCAGCCGTGGAAGATCTCTGACTCATGTGGTTGATTTCTAATTCCTTCTGTGGCAGAGCCGTGCCCCGATTATGGCCAGTGTGTAAGCTTGAGCAGCTGAGGAGGACAGATCTGGAGCAAGTTTCCCAATTCTTTGAGTTTCAGCGTCTTCTGCCAATTGGGCTCATTCAGATTAAGGTAGAAATGCATCATTCATCACACAGGATCCTCAATACTTACCAGGAATGATGCTGTGCTTTCCTCATCTCTCTCAACCCCCTCTGCTTCCCTGGGAAAGAGGTATTATCACCATCTTCATCTGACAAATGCAGAAACCAAGCTCAGCAAGAAGGTCACAGAAGACTTCTACTGTACAATGAGGTTTCTTGAACATGCAAGCCATGTGATCTGCAAACGTTTACACATCAATGGGAGATGAAAATTGCCCAAACCCCAAATAGAAATACATATAGAAAAGCTCACCAAGCTGGAACAACTGGACCATTTCAAAGGAAATGCAGTTTGATTATTTTCAAGTACATACAGTAACCAGAAAAATCACTAACAAGTGCTGGTGGTTCAGG